TACAAATATCAAAGGACAGAGTGAGAGGTCTCAGAGCTCAATGAGCAACGGATTCAAATGTCAGTTTGTCTTCATACATTTTGTAAACAGAGTGTAGATGACGGCTCCGCTTTTAGCTTTTTTCGCTCTCTGCCAAGCCATCTACTTTCTTCTTTTGAGCAATTTCCCCAATGTGTTCCTCATGACTCATCCACCTTGCCCGAGGACCTGTTTGATTGCCAGGCATAGCCACTTTCACACAAACAGAAATGCAAAAATGAGTGTGTATGCAGAATAACACACACATAGATTTATCACCACTGACAATTCATGCCCATACAAGTTCAGGAATACACACAACCACATCATCATCATCATCATCATCATCATCACTGCCCTTAGGGGTAAACACCTTTTTCTATTTGGTTGATATCTAGCGGCATAGGGTAAACATATTCCCCTCTCCCTGCATCTCCCCTTGGTCTTCCAGTCATTTCTCTGTGGGCAATAAGGATTTGTGAGATGGAGATGGACCATCAGTCTCTTCTATCAAAAAGCCCATCAAACTGTGACACAGCAGGTGAAGGAGGAGCAAAAATGGGCAGCAACAACATCCAATAGTCAAAATTGTTTTCCAAATCACGTGCGGCAATGCTATTGCTCCCTTTTATGCTGTCTTTCTCTGGTAGATCAAAGGTATTTCTAGGTGACAAAGGCAAAGGAGAAGCAATACATGTAGCAATAAATATAGCATTAACATTCATAGCTTCTCCAAAGCTACTGTAAAGGGTTTCATGAGCAGTTTCTTAACAGCTTTCAAACAGAAAACACCTACCAGGCTGAAGTGTGTGTGTGTGTGTGTGTGTGTGTGTGTGTGTGTGTGTGTGTGTGTGTGTGTGTGTTTGCATTGAAGGGGGGGGTCTCTACTTCCTCTTTTCCCTTCTGATTTCCGCTTTTCTCATGTCCTAGGCTTCATTTCATAAAAAATCCTAGCAAACCTAATTTCATGCAATAAATGCATTATCCTAATCAACATTGATGAGTTGAGCATGCACTGGTGCACACATGCATATATCTGTGTGTGAGCGTGTGTGTTAGTGATTTTGCCATGATTAAGGAATTCCTAGTTCTTCTTTGCTCCTGGCTCATATAGAGTATGGTGGAATAAACCAGTTCTACACCACTGCATGCTCCCACTTACTAATTATTATTGACCACTCTTTATGTGTAAAGTATGTATACATGTAGGTGTGTATGCACATGCACCTGTGTCTGTAAGAGTCTGTGTGCGTGTGTGTAGATTATTGGGCTGTATGTAATAATGCTTGGATTCAGAGCTGTTTCACTTGCCAACATACTTCCGAGATATTAAAGCACAGCAAGCTTACACTGATCTGCTTGATCACAGTTTGAGTACCCAGAAGCCTCTTTGCTTTTCCTGACGTTTCAAGCTTTGACTCTTAGATGAAAGAAACAAATCAAGACAAATGGCACATCTAGGCTGACAGATGCGAGTCATTCCCCGAAAAGTGGGGCCGCAATCACCATACAAACGATGACAGATGATCTTTGATATATGCCTATTGGTGATGTCATTATCAAATCAGCAGACCTATGCAAACAGTAGTGCTGCTGCTTTACCCAGATACACAGCAGATATTTGTCATCCTTGGAGTTTTAAACTATTGTCGCCTTAACATTACCAATTGTATTAAGTTTAAACTTTAATTTCCTGGTCTAAGTATAGCCTTAAACAACATATATGAATGATATGTCTGTCTAACCACATACAGTAGGCTCTATTTTCAGCTCTGAGTCATAAGGCTATTCTGTCATAACAGCAGAAAAACAGACTACTTGGCCTTTAAGGTGGGTAGTTCTATAAAAGTCAGGTATTTTTCTTTCTATATAAATCCCTTCACACTTTAGCGGCATACTCACAGGATTCTGGTGTGGAGGGGAGCAGTCAAACTTTTGGCTAACTGATCCACATTGTTAAAGCGGCCTATTATGCTCATTTTCAGGTTCATATTTGTGTAGTTATAATTACATAATTTTAATAGTAAAAAGTGCTGTATTCTTTCTCATACTGACTGTGCTTCAGCACCTCTTCCCACCCTCTGTCTGAAACCAGAGCCCAGACTGCTCTGATTGGTCAGCTGGCTAGCTCTGTTGTGATGGACAACCGCTTAGAAATGTCCTGCTCCTTAGCCTATCACGTACAATGTGTTGGAGCGCTAGCCAATAGAAGCGTGAGTGTTATATAGTGATGTCCTTATGTCTGTGTGGGAAAGAAACTCTGGAAGGAACTTTAAGCCTTTGCAGACCATTTACATGCACACAAAACCTATACACACTACAGGAAAGGGAAAACTAGAAAAGCATAATACAGCCCCTTTAATAAAAACAGGGAATGGTGTAAAAGTGAAAGCTAGTGCACCCTAAAGTCAAAGATCAGAAGAGCCTAACTGACTGTGGGTAAATACATTCACTGATGGCTGATGATGATTACTTTATGTTAAAGTGAGAAGGGACTCTGTAACAAAAGTAAAATGGCTGGCATAAAGAACATGACATTGACAGTGACTTACCAACATATACAGAACATTATTTGAAGAGGGATTTAATATTATTACTCAAAGCTTGGCTGCACAGTTTCATTTTATTGTGACACCCGCACACCAAACATACACATAAAAACACTGCTGGCACACCTGCAACCACACACGTCTCCTTTTCTTTTTTCTACTGATATGTCTGACGCAGATGGAGCATGACGGGGAGAAGGATGTTAAAGCAAGACAAATTGTCACCAACTACCTACAATAACATTTGCTCCACAGCAGCTACTAAATAAACGTTCAGTATGAAGATGAATGTAACCGAGATTAGCTCACTACGCAAACCAATGCCAACAATGTTTGCATAATTAGTGTTCTATACATAATTTCTTATATATTTTTGCATAGCACTCCACTTTCTACAAAAAACGTACACACATCATCCCTAATTTCACTTCAAATAATACCAGGAGAGAATTCTATAATAGGCATGAAACCGCTCTGTGAATGTCTTTCGGCTTCAATTTGTTGTTTCATTTCTTCCAATTAAATTGAACATAGAAACTGTCTGTGTTCGACCAACTGTGAAGAAGAAAGGATTACAAATTTCTCGAGGGGGACACACACCCATTTATACTTTTGTGTGTCAAATTCACAAGGTTTATGAAATGAAAATAAATAATATAGGTCATACCATGTTCTGTATATGTTCTGCTTTTTTCTTTTTTAAAGAGCTTGTCATGGTCACATTGAGGACGAATAACAAACATTACCACCCCAACGAAGTCATTCATCAAACAGCAGACCAACATGATTCATCACATACAGAGTAATTTGTTTCTCATCCCTCACAGCCCACGTGTGTATTTCTTTATAAAAAGGTAGGCCATGTCATTGGGCTTTTGCCAAATGTTTGCAGAAGCTTTCTCTTGTGGGAGGGTGATCACAGTCTATGGTCTATTTATAGTTAGTCTCCGTATCCGTGATGGAAGCACCTGTAAAATAGGCAATTTTACAGTCACTGCGCCTAATCACTCAGCTGTGGGTTGGAAATAACCTGCCAGCCAGCTGTGAGCGCACATCGGTGATCTAAGTGTGTGTGTGTGTGTGTGTGTGTGTGTGTGTGTGTGTGTGTGTGTGTGTGTGTGTGTGTGTGTGTGTGAACCTTCCTGTCAGTGATCTTACAGATCGATAAATTAACATAAGTAAAAGTATTGTATAGTTACAAACATAAATTGACCAAGGACTTAAAAAAAAGTAATCACTCTCGGTGACTGTTAAAAAAACGAGTTGTGTTTATAAAGTGAATCTGCAATTGCAATTTAAGAAAGAAACTGACCCGTAGGGCAATAACAAGCAACAAGGCTTTGAGTATTCAAGCTTTTTCACACAACAGGGTTTTGCTTTATTAAAGCTAATTGCCCATTTAATCAAATCCTATAATGAAAAAAAAAAAAAAGGTGAAAAAAACCGAAATTACTAATAGCCCTGCCCACATGTGGGAACACATTGTAAACTCTGTCACTCTTTCCAGGGTGCTAACAGAAAGTGCTCCACTTTAAATAAAACGCAGTGGCAAACAACAAGGGAATAAAACGCAGGCAGCAGACAAATCAGTTTGCACTTAAGATATGATGAGAGAAAAGGTGCTTTTGAATGTCTTGCATACATGTATGTCCTTTACTGTTATTCTTACTGGTAATAAGTCTACTAAAATAAAAGTGTAAAAGAATACATACTGTCCTTATTTTTGCCACATTCTTCCGTGATTAATAATAAAGCAGCTATGTTAATCAAATACATGCAGTCACATTTTTAATTAAGAAAATAAAAAAATGGTGGGTCATTTAAATAAATGACAGGCACCAAATATAAGGACCAGAGTGGAATATTAATATTGTTGATCAACCAGCCAGAGTGGCTTAGCCTGGTTATGCCATTTCATCATTTTGGCTTTGCTCAAGAGATGATTGACAGTCCTCTTCCTTCTCATGTATAAAGAAATAGCAAACTGTCCAATACGCAACTGAAAGCCTTCACACTGCTTATGAATAATAATTTCTGACTTTCAATCCAGAAAATAACAAGACACTTCTAGAAACCTTGTCTGATCCATCAAGACTTTCCACCAAAGTGAGTTTCTGAGATGAAAATTACCCATTGTAGTAGGAGAATCAGGTTTTGTGTGAAATCAGCGACACCTCATTTAAATAGGTGATAAAAGTTAGCAAGGCTTGTGAGGTGGGTGAGCTGCTGAGTCACAGCATCCTCTTAATGTCTGTTGACTCAGAGACAGAGGCTCATTATTTATAAAACTACCTTATTTAATTCGTAATCTCAACACTGTATATGCAATAACATGAACTGTACCTGTGGGTACCGATAGCAAGATTCTTTCGCACTTATAGATCTGAGCATAATCTTGTTTTACTACGGACATAATTCACATAAGCTTCTTACCTGTTTGAGCTTCTTCAAGTCTTCATCCAACTCCAGATTGTCCAAGATGACAGCCACAAAAAGACTGAGAAGAATCTAAAATGCAACAAGAGGAAATTAATGAGAAAGTCTGCCGAGTTTGATCACATTACACTATGTCAATGTCATTATCCCTATTACCATAAAACAAGACTTTTTCAAAAATACAAAGTCCGCTAAGTAATTGCATGTGTCTCTTGCTCGGTTCTGGAAGAGATCCTGCCTGTCTGCGGTGAAGTGTGACTCATCCAGAGACTGCATGCTCCCTATATAAGAAGGCCAAACACTGAAATGTCAGCACTTCTTACGCCTGCAAGTCTGATTAACTGTGATTAGATGTAACACTTGAGGGAACACTGAAGGGGTGATGGCACAAATTGAAAGCATTAAGAAAACAACTCATGTATGCTTTTGCCACTTATTTCCAACAACCGGCTTTTACCGACTATAGAACTGCACCAACCAAAATGCTAAGAAATGTAATACAACAGTCTCTTCAACATGTTTGTCTTGTACATTTGAATAAGCACAACACGTTTCTCACCAGGGTAGCAAACAGATGGTAGAGGATGAAGTAGATGGCCACTACCGGAGCCCACATATGACCTACAGCCACCAGAGTCTGGTCCATGACATCAACCCAGCCCTCTTGGGTTAGGATCTGGAACATGGACATGAATGCCTACAGGGGGTAGAGCACAGGAATATAAAAAGCAAGAGAGGCAAAAGACAAGAGAGGGCAACTGAGTACACAAGGAGAAACAATGAAGAAAGAGTTGGAGATGAAATTACAGAGAAACAGACAGATCTGACATTTGAAACATGAGAGCAAATATCACACAACTGATGCACATATCCCGCTCCGACCATCCTTCTCTAGCTGGAGGTTGTGATATTTTGAAATACAAGCCATAAAAAGAACAGAAGAAGTCAGAGCATAACAATCCTTTATTTTTGTACTGTCTTGCTGCCCTCTCATTTACTTGGTAGAGGTCAGATTAAAGTGTAGGGAACAGCTAGCTGCGACACTGTGGCCCCTGGAGTCAAATGACATGCCTGTGCCTCCTCCTTAGCATCTCACCTCCAGACAGACTCCCCCCCCACTCCCTCCCACCTACTCCCACATCCCTGTCACTGCAGATAAAGATAAACCCAGCAACAGGTCTGCCCATTGGAGAGACAGCCAAACATCATTAACTATGATGGGATGTGCGTCTTTGTGCATGTGGGTGGGTGTGTGAGACACAAGCAATAAGAAAAACGAAGAGAGAAAATGAGAGCGAGGAGGGTAACATGGCATACAAGTGGCATCTGTTTACGAGCAACCCCTCATCTCCCGCTGTGCTGGGGATCAGCGAGATGTTGGAGGGGAGAAAAAAAGATATGGGAGTTCGAAAGGCGAGGCTAATGAGAGAGAAAGAAGCTCATGAGCACTTAGAAATCAAAGGGGGTACCACATCTGTCGACCAACCATGCATCTCATCATCAGCATCTGCAGCCCTCGGCATCGCTCGTCTGAGGTGCCCCTCTAGAACTGCTCATAGGCATTTCTTAATGTGTTTGCAGTGGATTTCCTTTTCTACCTGTGTGTCCTGATTTCATCTTCATTTCAGCAGATGGCTCTTACTTTAAAACAGCTGATATTTCCGGCTAAATAAAATAAGACCTACTAATCTCTAAATGCAGAGGAGCATGTGTGGGTATGAAGGGCAATACATCGGTATCTGATAACAATCAATCATTTCCAGGGAGCCCCATTATACAATGAAAGTGGTTGAAAATGTGCCAGCATTGTTGTATTCATACATGCACTGAATACAGACAAGGTAATTATACTAAAGAGTAAAGTCCATTGTGCATAGCAATAGATTGAATTATTTAGACTCCTGACGACAGATTTCCAGAAATCTTTTCAATGAATCAACTTGTTGTTCTTCATATTGTGATCATTTGTTATATACTTTAAATAGATCACCTGCACTAGTTGTTATATTTACCCTAGTGAGTGAGAGTGTATTCTTACCCTGGGGAAAGTGGTGAAGCGGTCCAGCTCCTCCACAAAGCAGAACATCTGCAGGCTGATGGCCGACATGACGATGAGGAGGCTGGCTGTGAACACCACCAGGCTGCCCAGCTTTTTACCTGGACCGAAGATCTTATACACAAAGTCCTCCAGAGCCGGCGAAATCTTAATCAAACGCACCACACGGAGCACCTGCATAGTGAAAAACAACCATTTACACTGTTGAACTGTGTAAGGGGATATTTTGAAGAAAGTTTCGAAAAAATATCAGAATTCTAAAACAAAAACACAGTGGCACATTGATAAGATATTGATTTTGAAAACACAGAGCATTGATCTTGACCCAGTGATAAAGGTGCAGTGCTGGTGTGATCTGTCAACTGGCTCAGTCCCTAAATTGCTTGCAGTGACAACAACCAGCCCCAAAAGGTAATGCATATTAGTCAGGCTTTGATCAGACATCCACAGAGTAGCTATCGATCGAGCTCAGAACTGATGCCCCTGGCCAGAGATTTGTCTTTAGAATCCAGCTCAAAGCCAAATAAATGGCTGTCTCCCGTTCCCGGGACACACAACAAATAAGGAGACAAATGGAGGGTAATAGTTTATAAGTGAGCCGAGAGAAAACAAATACAGTAATAATTCTCACAGCATAATAAGATGGGATGGAAAGAAAGTGGACCTTCTTGTCCGGACAGACCATGATGACCACTATCCATTTTACTACTGATGCAGGCATAATATAACAAGGTGGGATCACAGATGATATAAGGCCATAACATTCTAAAGTTATTCACTTATCTCTCTTTGTCTTCACAGCCTCCAAACAAGGTTTTGGAATAATCATCTGTTTAAGATCGAACGTGTTGTATTTATCTGAAATAGGTTTGTTCAGTGGGTGGTGGTGGTGGCAGTAAGGTTTAGAGAGTTCATAACATTTAGTTTAAGTAGATTGAGCTGAGTATTACAGTATGAAGATGTGGAAACAAATTAAACAAATACTATTATGCAAATGTTGCACATGTGCGAAATTATACCTGATTTATATGTATAAACAACGCCCACTTCCAGTCTTCAATCTGAATACAGATACAGAGGCACATATCTCTTTTTAGTTGATATATATAAATACAGATAAGGAAATCTCTCATACTCACTAAAAAAAGTTGAATCTAACATTTAGTTGCATATCTCTAATCTAAGAAAAACATATAACTGTTATTAGAGGAAAACATTTCTTCGCCAGTACTAATGCAGACAGAAAATGAACAATGAATAATCTTGAGTGAAATTACTTTGATGTGTAAAACTAATTACCACTACAAGGGGTTATCCCAACTACAGTTCAGGCTCAGGGCCAGATCTGGAGATAGAAACACGATAAATCACAGAATATTGTTTCACGGCTTCATTTAAAACCTTTTTTTGTACAAAGAGGATTGTGTGTCTGCTACCAATGATTAAATATAAATGAGACTCAGTGAATGGCTCTCCAGCTGTGTGCTTCTGGCTCTAGCCTCTTGCAAGACAAAGCAATGCTTAACTGAAAATTGAATTGCCTATTGTGTCCCATTGTTCCCCGACACAGATAGCCCATCCAGAATTTATAAGATGTTGGCCAAATACCAACAACTAGAATTGGATCAGTGCATCCCTACTAGAAATGTGAAAACTGATTTGCATTTCTGTCATTCTAAATAAATTCATTGACTGAACTGTTGAATTGTGCTGCCACTGAACTCATTGCAATTCTGAACCAACAGAAACAAAATGTTGGGTGCCCATTGGCTCATTAAAAATGATTATGCTAAGTGTATTTCAAGTGCGTATGTATGAGCTTTAGAGCATGTGACATTTGGTCAGGAATAGAAGACGGTTGGTACGGCTAACCTTTAGCCTAATCATTTGTGAATAAATGTCACCTGTAAAAACCTGGACCTACATGAAATCACCATGAGAGTGGTGAGACAGGAAGGCGCTTCCGGTTGCTCTTTAAAAACTTCTCATTAGCCAAATGCAAACAACTGCTATGAAAGAGGACTCATCTTTTGCTGCAAATTAAGGATTGAATGACATTTCACTCTACAAACTCGTAATATCGGTGCATGATGTTTCGTAGTTGTTACTACCCTGAGCTTGTCCCTAGTGTTTATTTGGTTGTACTTGAAACTTTTGTAGTAAATATTTCATAAAGATAAATAGCAATAACGATTTTTATCACAACAAATAAATAAAGATCAACTGCAAAACGTGTTTTTCCTTTGACGACCACCATGTTTGATGCAATGAGCTGTCAAACACGAGTTCTTATTGTGTGTGCGTTGCTTTTTTACAACATTAAAAGATCATTAGAGCCCAGCAGTGGAGCTGAGCAATGAATGGTTTTCAGTGAGAACTCACAATCTATGAATACAGTGCAATTGTAAGATCTGCAGCACATCATGTGTTAATAAATACAATATTTGAGTGTAGGTATGAAATGTAGAACCCAACACAGCTCTGAAGTGTAATTTACAGAAAATATTACCAATTTAATTCAGAATTAAATATTGGTTATACAAGTTATTTTCTTCCTCAAAGATGTGCATAGTTTATGAATGCAATACTGGCAGCCAATGCTTATATCTTAGAATAATGGAACGTATTGCCAGCACATAAATGGACCATAACTCAGAAAAACATAAAAAGTCTGCATTACCATGAAAAAATAAGGTAGTCTAATTTAAGGGAGAAATAAAACAAGCAAGTCATTCCAAGTTAATTTTCCTCTTCTACTAAAATTACAGCCTGGGAGAAGAAAAACAGTAATGTTTGTTTTGGTCGCAGTAATATCCAGAGCATAATTTAATCAAAGAACAATGAACAAGTCAACAGCCCTTTTTTATGCAATAAAGATATACCTGTATACCAAAGGATACCAAATAAATACAGTATATTTCTTTGCTTGAGTGTATGCGTTTGTGTGGAAGGCAGCTGTTGAGTGAGTCAGATAGGATCGGGGCAGCTTGTATGGTCAAGGCTCATTAAAGACACATCAAGAAGCTCTTTCCCATCAGATCCTCCAAAGAGCTTTTCATTGACTGCATTACGCGACAGCAAGGTCACAGGGTTACTTGTGATTCAAACGCTGTGGATGGATGATAATGCTCAAAGGCACCATTGCGACGTGGGTCATAATATAAAGAGTTGATGTATGTTTCTGCTTTGAGAACTGGGCAAACTATTCACACTTTGGTGGAGGTAACATCCCACACAAATATATACACAAAATGTATAGAACACATCCTGCCAACCTTCACAACTAGATTACATTTCTTGAGAGGGCAAAGGCATCAGACTGTATTTATTCTACCAACAGAATGGTTAGGACTTTCCCATTTGATTGCATCACATGAAATAATGTAGGCCTCTCTTTTCAGACCCAGTTTAACGCTTTGACTCTTTTAACTTAGTACATCAAATCTGCTCTAACAATATCATCACTGAAAATACACTTGCTCAGAAATCACTTAACTAAATCTCTGTAAGACATTTGTGGTGACAGTGCATTTAATGCATTTTGAATGAGAAGAGGAAAGATTTTAACACTGAAGAGGGATATGATCGATTTGTACTCATTAATGCATAGTCACAGGAAAGAGATGTCACTAAATGATTCACAGCTTCTGTTCTTCACTGAGATTTTATCTTGAGTGGGGATCTTGAGTGGGGATGTGTCTGTCTGTCTGTCTGTCTGTCTGTCTGTCTGTCTGTCTGTCTGTCTGTCTGTCTGTCTGTAGTAGAGGTAATCACATGTGATAAATAAATGTCTGTGTATATTTCCCCCAGGTTC